CCCCTCTCCAGGACACCCCGTTGCCACGCTGAGCCTTGTCAGCTGCCAGGAATGTGCTGCTGCGGCAACGGGTGGGTGGTCTGAGCTCACCCACCTTCCCGTGTGTGTCCCCCCTCCCCAACCCACGCAGGGAGCAGCCTGGAGCCCCAGGAGCACAGCATGGAGCCCCCAGCCCCCCCAGAGGAGGAGGAGGAGGAGACCCCCCTCACGGTGGCATCGGGCCCGGTGGGTCAGCAGCTCTTTGGTTACGTGGGGATCGAGGCCGTGCTCGAGCAGATGAAGCTCAAAACCATGAAGACAGGCTTTGAGTTCAACATCATGGTCGTGGGTGAGCACCAGGGTTCGGGTTTGCTCCTGGGGGAGTGGGAATTCTGGCTCCAGTGGTGGGGTCTGGGGGGAGAGCAGGGGTTTGAGGGATTTTTTTCAAGGGTTGAAGGGTCACGACGTCGACAAGAGGAGCAACACGATGGGGTGGTGGTGCTGGTGGGGGAGGTCGTCCCAAGGACCAGGGTGCTCCCAAGTGGGTCCCCAGGGGCAAGGTGTTTATTAGGGGGGCAACCTGGAGCTCTCCCAACCTCTGGGGTGCTCCCAGGTGTGTGTCGAGGTGTTATACTGGGAATAAACCTATTGGGGAGGATAAGCTGGAGCTATCCCAGCCTCTGGGATGGTCCCAAATGGGTGTCGAGGTGTTATACTGGGAATAAACCTGTATGGGAGGACAAACTGGAGTTATTCCAGTCTCTGGGATGGCCTCAGATGGTTGCCTAAGTGTTATACTGGGAATAAATTCAGCAGGGAGGACAAACTGGAGCTATCCCAACCTCTAGGATATCCCAGATTGGTGCCGAGGTGTTATACTGGGAACAAGCCTACTGGGGATAAACTGGAGTTATTCCAGTCTCTGGGATTGTCCCAAATTGGTGTTGAGGTGTTATACTGGGAATAAATTCAGTGGGAAGGACAAACTGGAGCTATCCCAACCTCTGGGATGGTCCCAAATGGGTGTCGAGGTGTTATACTGGGAATAAACCTGTATGGGAGGACAAACTGCAGCTATCCCAGCCTCTGGGATGCTCTCAGGTGGTTGCCAAGGTGTTATACTGGGAATAAACCTATTGGGGAGGATAAACTGGAGCTATCCCAACCTCTGGGATGGTCCCAGATGGTTGCTGAGGTGTCATACTGGGAATAAAGCCAGTGGGGAAGACAAACTGGAGCTATCCCAACCTGCGGGATGCTCCCAAATGGATGTGGAGGTGTTATTTGTTGCCCTGAGGGAACTAAATTTCTTGGGGGGAGGAGCTGTTGGTGTTGAGCTCCAGCTGAGCTGGTGTCCCCAACAGGGCAGAGCGGGCTGGGGAAGTCAACGATGGTGAACACCCTCTTCAAGTCCAAGGTGAGCCCCAGGTCCTCGCAGCCTGGCCAGCAGGAGCGCATCCCCCGGACGGTGCAGCTGCAGTCCATCACCCATGGTAAATCATGGTCCACCAACCCTGGGGTGAAGCAGGAGGCCATGGGGGGGGGGGTCTGAGATCCTTCTTTTCAGCCTTGCTTGGTCCTTGCTGACCCACATCTCTGCCCAACAGTCATCGAGGAGAAGGGTGTGAAGATGAAGCTGACGGTGACGGACACACCAGGGTTTGGGGACCAGATCAACAATGAGAACTGGTGGGACACAACAGGGTGCAGCCCATCCCAGCTTGGTAGGGGGCAGTTTAGGGTTGGGGTTGAGCTCAGTTGGTATTTTCCCCCAACTTCTCGTCCTCAGCTGGGACCCCATCATCAAGTACATCAACGAGCAGTATGAGAGGTACCTGCGTGAGGAGATCCTCATCACCCGCAAGAGGAAGATCCCAGACACCCGGGTCCATGGCTGTGTCTACTTTGTCCCCCCCACGGGTCACTGGTGGGTCCCCACTCGCAGCATCCGTGGGTGCTCCCTGCTTGGTGGGGTGGGTTCCCGTGGGGTGATGGTGGTGGTGTAACCTCAGGGTGATGGTGGGTGATGTTGGGGTGATGGGTCATCCTGGGGTGATGGTGGTGAAGGTCACAGGGATAGGTTCATCTCAAGGTTGTATGGTAGTATGGTCACCTCAGGGTGGCAGGGGTGTGTTCACCATTGGGTGATGGTGATGAAGTCACCCAGGTAATGATGGTGGAGTCACCACGGGTTGATTGTAGTGGGGGTCACCCCAGGGTGATGGAAGCATGGTCACTCCAGGGTGACAGTAGTAGAGTCACTCTGGGGTTGATGGTGCTGCGGTCACCTTGGGATTGATGGTGATGGGTCACCCTGGGGTGGTGGTGGTGAGGGTCATGGTGGTGGGTTTGCCCCAGGGTGTTTGGGGTCACCCTGGGGTTGATGATGGGAGGGTCTCCCTGGGGTGATGGTGGTGGTGGGGATTACCATGGGTTGATGGTAGTGGGGCTCACCGCAGAGGAATGGTAGCATGGTCACTTAAGGGTGACAGTGGTGGCTTCACCTTGTTGTTGATGGTAGTGGGGTCACCCTGGGCTGATGAGGGGGGGTGTATCATCATGGTGGGATGGTCACCCCAGGGTTACAGTGGTAGGGTCATTCTGGGGTTGATGCTGGTGGGGTCACCCTGGGCTGATGGTGGGGGGGAGGTCACCCTGGGCTGATGGT